GAAATCTTTCGAAATTTCCATATCGAGAAATTCGACGGAAGTCGAATTTTCGACCTTGTTAAACTGAGAAGTACGACGCTTTTCGAAATTCCGAACTTATTGCGCTGCAAAATTCGATGCTTGTCGAACTTTCGAACTTGATAGACCAAAAAAGTCGATGATTTTCGAACTTTCAATTTTTCTTGCACTAAAAAGTTCGAAGCTTTTCGACCTTTCGAACTTCCTACGCTAATAAATTCGATAATTTTCGAACTTTCGAACTTATTAATCTAAAGAATTCGAAAATTGTCGAACTTCTGATTCCTGAAAAGTCAAAAGTTCGACGAACTTCGAATTTTTAGGGTAAAAGTTCGAAGTTGGTCGACCTTCGAAAGACGGGCGGGCGGTTTCATTTGGATTTAAGGAGTGAGGTACATTCGTAATTTTTTTTCTCGCATTTTTACATGTGGTACCGCATTCTTTGCGAAAGACAATGCCGTTTATTTCAATCATCTGGCATGCTTGGTTTTAAAGAAATAGATTCCCGAAGGAGCGAGGAAGGACGACGGGTTTTCGACAATTGTCGTTTGTGCCATATTGGAAGCGCTATAGCCGAAGATATTTATGCTAGAGATGTTAAACATATTTAGGAATGATCAATAAATAACCTAGGTAAGTGTCGTCTTAAAATATGATTATTGTTGTTCAAGACGGAGTTTCGAAGAAATATCCAAATATGTATCTACGGGCAATTATGCCCTAAACTTGGTACTTTTTTTCGTCGAAATTGTTTCAGGTATCGCATTTAAATTAACACCACAGCCGGTACATATCATTACAATCTGCAGAATACAAATTAATGTATATATTGTTTTTTTCACGTTGAAGAATAAATTAACCGAGGAAAAAAAGATTTCTAAATTGCTCAAATTTGGCACGTCAAAAAAAAATATTTATTATTATTTTTTTTATTTCACTTTTTTGGGACCTGTTTCTTTTAGCCTGTACACATTTTGGTAGGAGAAATTTATTTCGTAGTTCTGGGCCTCTAATATGCAAGAATACCACACTTCCGGCGGATTTTAGATAGATTTTTTTTTCTCCAGCTTTTTATTTTTTGCATTTATTGTTATGTTTATTTATTTATTATTTCTTCCCAATGGCACAGTTATTTAGGTCGAAAAGACATAGCTTTGAACTTCCGAACCACTATGCACGTGACGAGTAGGGCCTTCTGACGACGAGTTTCTTACAATGACAATCTACGCGATCTTTTATGCAGTGAAGAACGACAGTAGGTATGCATATGCATAAATAATTTTAGATTAAAATAAGCTCGACCATGCCCTCTTTCCCCGTATTATTTTCTTTAACAACCCGAAATATCATGGGGGGGGGGGGGGGGGGGGGGGGGGGAGACTGAAGCCCCCCCCGCCCCCCCCCCCCCCCCCCCCCCCCCCCTTTCCCCCCCGTTTTTCCTATTCCGACGCTGCTGGTATGGTAGAACGCTCCTCGACGTCAAGTTGTGTCAGCTTCTGTGCTTTTTGCTCGGCGTTTCTTTCGTCTCGGAAAATAAACCTCCAAAACAATTACAAACTAAAAAAATTGTCAGGGTGCAGGCGAGCTGGTATATGTTGATCATGATGCAAAATCCCGAGACTCGGAATGAAATTCTAAACAAATAGTGTGAGAAGAAAGGAAAAAAGCGACAGGACAAAGTCTCAAACTCAGTTGAGTTGAATTTGAGACGTTATTCCTGAGCTGAGTTTTTAGCTGAGTTGAGTTTGAAACGTTGTCCTGTCCCCTTTTTTCTGTCTTCTTACACTTTTTCTTTCAAATTTCATTCCCAGTCTCAGGATTTTGCATCATGTACAAACTAAACCTACAATACACCTTTGCAAAAAACGCTCCTAGGCCGCCGCCATGTTCCTGATGCTGATGTGGCTGGTGCGACTCTCGCGCCCTCTGTCAGCTAGAAATTTTTTGCCACTCTCTCTGACTGTGAAGACCCGCTTAGCGCGATTCTCTACCTACGTTTTTGCGGTTTTGCATTCAACGTTTTCTCGGCTCTCTTGAAAGTTTCCACTTAATTTTTTTTATGGGTGCTGCGTACCCTTTCTGTGTTATCTTCCATTGTGAAAAATAAGGCTGGTAAGTGCCTGCCATTCAAGCTTTTCTGCTCGAAATCCAAGGGAAACGAAGGAGGTGAAGGACGTCGAACGACCCTCGACGCGATTTTGCGACCATTGTTCTCCCCCCTCTTACAGATAATCCGCGTAGAATCCCCAGTCATCTCCCAAAATAGTTGTCCGGGTTGGGGTGAGAAGCGGGTCAGTCGCATTTGTTTGTTTGCCTTGGTGCGGTTGTGAAAGAAGGAAGCTCTCCCCAAAACTTGCCCCAAAACCACGGTGTACCCAAAACGAAGTCATTTCGGATTCCGTCCGATCGTCAAGATGTGACTGTCGTCGACTGTGACTGTGTTATTTGAGATCTTTCTCAAATAAATTCTTTTCGGATAACGCTGCATCGTGTGGTACGTACGACATATTGTTCGAATGGTAACACTTCCTCAATTGTATGTCCGTGTCCTGTCCATCGATAAACACGTTATTTGTGAGCGTGAAAAATGCATGACTTTTGGCCCTCTTCTGTTCCAATTTATTTTTGACAGCAAAGCGCTTTGTCGTTTCACATGCGGCGAATCCCGCGGCGCCGTCAAAACTTATCGTTAGAAAAAAACAAATAACTAGATTCCAGTCGCATTCGTTCTGTCGCACGCGTACGCAACAAAAATAGTTTACAGCTTTTTTTTTTTTTTTTTTTTTTTTTTAAATGTGGCACAATGCTTTCTCAATGTTTTCGGGAAAATACAGGTACCATGAAACACAAAATATAGCGGGGAAATACGAGAATTTAGCCGTCAGCAGCGTTTGAAACTGCGCCTACGCAGGCGGCGCACAGTCCACTCGGTTAGGGTTAGAAGGGACGCCGGTGAGAGTCTAGCCTCGTTGGAGTCTAGCCCCAAACTCAGTGACTGGGCTCGAAAACGGTTTGTTGCCTCTGGGGTCTACTCGAGCGGCGAAGGGCGTCTGCCCGAAACGTCGTGTATACCTCCTTGTCCGCGTATTTTTTCGAGAAGCACAACCTTATTAGTTGCGATTACGTGTTTTGGCTCATTGCAGAGCCGTGTATTGGGAGAGTTTGGCCAATAGGCGGAGCAAAGGCCGCCGCCAGCGCCGAATAGTCCCCCCGCGCTTAGAGCGTAAACTAAATTTGTGACACAGCGTCGACCAATCAGGAGACCGCGACGTCACAATATTGCGAACGACATTCAAAGCGTGAAATAGACGCGTTCAATCTCGGTCTCTCTGCTCCATCTCACAAATGTCGGCAGTGAAGACAAAGGTACAGGCGCGTGAACCTAGCTCAGCGAAACGCTTTTGTTTGTACGAGAACTCCTGCATAGGAGCCACTTTCCGAAGCCACGCGCTCGTGCCCATGTTTTTCTCTGCGCCGCTGATGTTGGATTGTTAGAACAGCGTCCTGTGACTGGCGGAAAGAAAACAGTGCAAAGGGTGGGACGCGCGAGCGTCTGGAGACGCGGAGTCCCGCTCGACTCGTGCGCTGGCTTTGGCAGTGCTTTCTTTCATCGTCTCAGCTGAGACGCTGTTTCTAGCAAGTTAGCCCTGGTTTGGAGCGCACGTTCATTTATTCTACACTTGAATATTGGCGTGACGAAAACCTCGCACGCAAAAAGTTTTCAGTCACTGAGAGTCACACTTTTTAACTCTAGCGACGCTGAAACGGCTTGAATTAGTCGTGTCACAAATTTAGAGCTCAAGACCACCGCTAGGGGCTGTTTCGCGGCCTGTGGTTGGCCCCGAGACGTTCGCCTATTCAAACCAATGTATGGCCAAACTCTCTCGATAAATGGCTCTGGCTCATTGTGCTCGGCAGCGACCTCATTCTCTCGGCGTTCGAGCGGATTACTACCAGCGTGCAAGGGGGTGGGGAGGCAGTTTGCCAGATCGCTTCAAGGTTTTTCTGAGCCTCAGTGACCCTCAACCACCTGCCTGCCCCTGGCCGTTTCGAACTAGATGAGTATCGTTAAACAGTGCGTTCGTGTGATCACTGATCACTACTGCGTGATGCACGTTAAAGACCCCCCGGCCACAAAACTGATCTGCACACGTCACTCTGCACTGGCAAATAATCCAGCACATCCGGGACACTAACTTTGCGCAATCTGAATATCACACCCGAACATTTCCATTTCTAAACCTGATTTCGTGAAAACCAGTGAGGCGTGAAAACGTTATTTGAAACTGAAACTGTGGCGGAACATGAAAACCGGACTTCGAACTTTGCGCACTTGGACTTTAAAGAAATTCGAAACCTAAGTTTCTTTTTCGAATTTAGCGCTAAAGGGAATCGAAACCTTCGATTTTTTTACCTTTATGTAGAAAGAAATGCGAAATCTTCGATTTCATGAAAAAGAATTCAAAAAGTTAGAATTTTTCGAATTTCAGATCAAAAGAAATTTGAAACATTCGAATTTTTTTGAATTTCAAGTTAGGAAAGTTCGAAATCTTCAATTTTCTCGAACCTCAAGTAAAAAAAAATATTCGAAATAATCAAACCCGAACTTTTAAAAACCGTGAAAGCTTCGAACTTTTCGATTTTGAAACTTCACGATTTTTGAAAGTTGCGAATTTTTTTAATTCGAATCTCCGTACGGTAGAAAATATCGAAACCTTTCGATATCGAACATCAGTTCGGTCGAAAATATCGAAATCTTTCGAAATCGAACCTAGGGTGGTTCGCGGCATGGTGGCGTAAGCTACCGCCCGATCCAAAGGGCTCAGCAGGATTTATCAGAGGCTCTGGGCTTTATGGGATTTATCAGGGATTTATTTATCCATCCAGCCGAGAGCACTATATACAACAACGAGGTAGATATACAACGAGCAAAAAGACAACGAGGTAGAGGGGGCGCAACAAACATCCTCTATATTCGCCCAGTAAGGGTCGTGCTGCAGAGTTGGTAGAGTTGATAAAGCTTGTGCCGTTCCACGCGTTACGCGCACTCCCCACACGAATAAAACTTAGAACACTTTACATTAATTCTTATTTATAATCACTCCAAACGCGGTATAGGACATTTATTTTTAATTTTAAGAACTAACATTTTTCCCCAGAGGCCCCGAGAAAGCGTTTCAACGGGTCGCCAATAAAGACGAAGCTTCTTGTTTTTATGACGGATGATTTCGTTGTCCATTGGCGCAGGATTTCCATAGGCGACCGGAGCCAATCAACAGAACCTACGTTGGGACCACTCTGCTTCTGGCAAATGTAAGTTGGCAAATTATCTTCGATTTTGTCCCGCGAGTGCCTTGCTCGCCTCGTCCGCGCCGCCAGATTTGAGCTTGGACCCACGTTCCAGCGCGCCGACCCGACAAACCCACTGCCAACTTCCGAGACAATGGCCGTTCTCGACGCGCTGTTTTCCCTTTCCTCACAAAGCAACTTTGCTGGCTGGCTTTCACTCGGAGAAGAAAAGAAAAGAAAGCCTCCGCAGTAACTCGCTGACGCTCAGCTACCATTCTTCGTATCACCGGTGAATGAGTGCTCCGGGTATCGCTGTGGATATTTTGCGAGATCATCTTTTGATACGAGCGCTCGAGGTGTCCCGAGCTCCCGAGTCCGATTATTTCGCCACCGTGGGCTTCGCTTGCTTAGTTAGGCCTAGCGTTCCCGCAGTTGCCGATACCATCTTCGCGTATCGGTGAGGGAACCTTGCGATTCGCTTTTCTTGTTTGCTTCATTGTTTCCGCGCTAGGTCAGCTAGGTTGCGTAGCGTGCGCCCAGTGCGCCACTGTGAGCTTAGTTTGCCCGACTGAGGACGTTAAAATAGGAGGCGATTCGATGGGTGGCACAGTTTGGTTTCGTTGACCTGACGCCAACGCGGTCATGGGAATCGGCCTGTCTGCTTCGTGGGGTCGACTTGTCGTTTATCTATTTTTTTTTCTTCGACAAATTCCAGTCGCAGATTCCAACACTGCGCTTTAACTCTCAGGCCACGTTTTGTTCTTTTCGGAAAGCGTTCGCGCTGGGCTGCGCTGGCAGACTGCGCATTTTTTCCCCTTCCACTCGCTGGCATAACTGGCATGCTGGCCGGGCTAGCAGACGTCAAGGCGGTGTAAATTTAGCAGACGATAAAGCCGGTTTTTCTTTCTCGCATAGCACTTTAACCTGACGTCGTGCGTTCCGCGAGCCGGTACTTGGTGATGCAGGAATTCACAGTAACTTTCGCTGAACTTCTACCGATCGACGGCTTCGAGGCAAATATGTGCCCATACTGCCCTGTGACCATACAGTAAGGAGCACAATCATAGAGATGTTTTAAGGAACAAAACAAGGCTGATGCAATTAAGGGATCTAATTGTGGTTCTTAAATTGGTACATCTCATCAACTGCAGTTTAAACTCAATTTGTACAGTTGAGAGGTCCCGTTTTCGGATGAATTCGAGTAAGTCTGAACAACACTCGCTGGTGCGATTTTCGTCCATTTGAATTAATCCGAAACAATAAAACATTTCAACTCGCAGTGGCACAAAAGAACAGTCTTTTACAAATGGGTACTAATACGTTTGGTCAGAGCACAAGATCCTGAGTAGAGGCCACTCCAGGTTCGTTTAAACCCTACTTTTGGCAGAAAGGGGTCGACTGTTTATGTCGCCCAAGTTAGGTCAGGGCAACAGGCCACTAATAAAACTCAATTTTTTTTTTTTTTTTAATTTCTTATCTGGAAAATAAAATAGCGTTTGGCGCTCAGTTTCTCCCCAATGTAGCACTTGCGGTTTGAACCAGGTGCCATAATCTTATTTAAAAGTTATAAGTGATCTTTGGAAATTTTCAGTGGTAAAATAGTGACTGACAAAGCCCACATATGCATGGGGCAGGCCACCGAGAACAGGCCCCATTTTCCTATTGAAAGTTTCAGAAAATCCAATCTGAATTCTGAAACTTTTCTTTAACTTTTGAATAAGGTAACGGTAGGGAAATTTTGACATTTGGGTGGAAATCGAGCAATTGGCAACGCACACTCTATATATGCGGTGAAAAACACATTTTAAATATTTTGGGGGGGCGGGGGGGGGGGGGGGGAGGGAGGGAGGGAGGGAGGGAGGGAGGGGGAGGGAGGCACGTTGTGCTTTTTAGTTCTCACAAAAGTCGAAGCTAGGAACCCCCGATTTTATAGGTGGGGGTGGGACCTTATGATGGATCTCGGACGGTGCTACGAGCCATTGAAACTGATCCAATGTCGCGCAAGTGTCACTTGGCCTTTGGGAACATTGGACGGTCTTTGACTTGTAGCCTGCTCTGCGGCCCCAGGTGAAACGGAATCTATTGCAAACTGCAGTGTGTGGTTTGTTTGTTTCTTCCACCTGTCCCTCACCTTGTTTGCACTTGTGCAACTGTGGGATGGAATGGTGGATAAGAATGTGAAGGAAACAAGCTTCCCGGCTACTACGTCTGGCAGTTTGGCGATTTTAATATATCGGCATCTGTCGAAGCAACACTTGTTTGCAAGTTTTGTCGTGGGGCAGTTGAGGCCTGTTGACACACTCGCATATTCCGAGGACCTTGTGCCTTAAAAACTTTAAAAATCTTTCAGGACAAGAGAACAGACTGACGTAGAGGTCGATGTTATGGTGCATTAAAAAACTCGCCAAAGCTATCAAACACAAAAAACATAACACTTGCACAGCTCTCATCAACGTTACTAGAACAACGCAGTTGGGAAACTGCCATAGAGCCTGCTCTGAAAAAGTGGCACTGATCAGTACTCGAGAACCGAGCTAATGGCAATCGCAACGCCGCCATTTCTCTTACAGCGACCACTCGGGGAACTTGTATTGGTTCGAGAGTATCGCATTCGATAGCGTCCGCTGTGACTGTTCTATTCTGGGTTTAATCGGACATTTTGGCGCCGAAACATATACGGTGGAAGGGATACTGACCCCCGTCTCCCAAGCAGATGCACCGCGAATTACTACCGAGGTTAGGACACGTCCAGGTCAGGATACGCTGCCTGAAATCGCCGGTAAGACATGGTTGTATAAGAACCAATATTAAATGTGCTGCAAAACCTTGTAAACTAAAGATTTTGGAAAACATCGCGTGCCTGTCATTTTGTACTAAACTCCAATAAAAGTTCCTACAAAGATGGTTTTTTCATTTTGTTTTTATGCAAAAGCATGCTTTCTAGAAGCTCAAGGTGACCACAGTAAAGAAAAGAGATTGAGCTGCCATCTTGGCACCTTGAGCATGGGAGTTTCGGTACTCTGGGAACATTCAGTGTCTCTAACAGTAGCCACGTAAGGCAACTTTCATGTTTCAACTCGTCGCTAAAGGGTGGCGCTGTTATCGTATTTAGCTTGGTCTCGGTGGACAGCAGCGACCTAGGTTTGAACGGCAAGTTTCCCAACTGAGTGTTCTAGTAATGTTGGCTCCAATAAAAACTCTGTATTGCATCTTAAACATCTGCTTCTACTTCTATCCAAAACAAATTCAAATAGAAAAAAAAAGAAAAAAAACCTGGCATGCTGGCGCTTTTTATGAGGTGACCGTGGAACTCCATTTCTCTAGAGTGAATGTTTTCCGGTATTTGCGGAGATCAGATCCACATACTATCTGTGAGTAATGTTAGTTTATAACAGCTTAAAAACTATTCCCCCCCCCCCCCCCCCACAAAAAAAAAATGGTGTGCAAAAATGAAAAAAAAGAAGAGAATTATGCAGACACTGAAAGTGTCGCCTGATAAGTGGTGCCAGTGTGTCATCTTGTAGTAAGAGGTTTTAGGAAGTTTCGAGGGCATGCCGTCCTAAGAAGTTGCAAGTGTGTGGCCTTTAGTATTGTAGTTAGCTACTGGCGAGGGTGCCAAATCCAACTGAGGGATCATCAGTCGATATAGGCGAGTTCTTATCTGTCCGGATATCACCTATGCAGGTTGACCTCTTGCAATGTAAATAAATTAGTTTCTTTTTGTGTTTATTTTTATTTTTGAGAGACGGTAAACGCAGCAAAATTAAGCTTTGAATTTCGGAGCCCCTTGGAGTCTAACTGAAATAAACTCCACTAAACCCTGAATATTCAGCAAAGAATAAACTATGAAACATACCCTCAGGATTTTGCAAAAAAGAAACATTGGAAGGACAGATCCCAAAATATAACCAGGGACTACATTTGGCAAGTTCCTATTTCTCTCGTGTGTATTTTGTCAGTCGTGACATGCCAACGTTCTGACATTGGAGTCTGTTTCGAAAATAAAAGCCCATAACAGAACTAGCCCAAAACTGGTGCGAAGAAAAAATGTTCAAAACACTTAGGCATTGACATAATGCCACTAATGGGGTTATGGCCATGTAGTGGTTACAATGTACCGTGGCACTTATGCCGCTTGCATCAACCTTCACCGCCTCATACCGGTGCGCGCGTCGAGCATCACCGCTCTGCACCAGAGTGTTAGCAGCAGCGGCTGACATGGAGGAGCGCCTGGGTTGGTTCGAAAATTACCGTAGAATACTGTGCATCTGCCCATTCCAGAGTAAGCGCCCATTCGCAGATTGGTAAGATCTGAGGAAATATGCACAATACATTGATATGTAAAATTGATGTGGCTAAGTGCCGATCCCTCATTTTTTCACAATTATCTCTAAATTTTGAGTGGGCGTTTGTCTGGTATTTTACGGTACATTTGAATAAATATGGTTGTTCGAGCACTCAGGTGAAAGGGCAGCGAATATCAACTCAACTCTGGTTCCTATGCTGCTAAAGTGCAGTTCTACTTTTTAATGTGCAACTGTAGGTTTTCATAATATTTGTGGGTGGCAATTTATAGGAATCCTGAGTTTTCTAGGTTTAAAGAACGAGGGGGGGGGGGGGGGGGATCGGATCGGGGTTGTATATTGATTGAAATACATCTCAACGGTTTTGCTGGTTTTTCCTCGCATTTTATGGAAATTATTTTTGCAAGCTAAATAAGCTACCAAGTAAAAAGAGGAGAGACTCGACCAAGGTATCACACTATGCTTCATTTCACGACAATTTTTTTCAATACCACATGTAAACAGAACCTACTCTGACCTAAGTCTTATTTCTAAAAAAAAAAAAAAAAAAAAGGGTGTACGTTTTATTTAGCGATGCAGTCACGTTTTCATTTTGAAGTGATGAGCAAATAAGCATTGGCATGTACTCCAAAAGCTTTGGTGGCTGATTCGAATCAATATTTTGCCTGCTACAAAACCTGCTGCAGAAAGTCAAATGCCACTTCCATCACTCTGTGAGTA